GAATGAATCTTGCTCAAATGCCTCATTTTGCTCTTTGCCACATCACCTATCTACGTCTTTGGAAAGACAGACCCTTGAGAGTGAGGTACGATTCTGAACCAATCCCACACCCAACCAAGTGCATGAAAATTAGAAGTTTGGTTAACTGTCCAAATATCTTGGGTTTGGGGAATTGTGTAAACATTTCTTTGGTGATCGTGGAATCTTTCACAAGACCAGAACCTTTCCCTTAACCCACTAGGAATGTTGTGAATCACAGTGGAACATTCACATGCTTAGGAGACTTTTCAGCAGTGTTTATTATGTGAGAGTCTGAGGCCAGGAAAAAAAATCTTTCCTAAATTTAAAAGTCATCCAAGAACTTTCTATAGCTTTTCCCCAGAGGGAGACTGCCTTCTAGGCCAAACAACAAAGTTTATCAAAAATAGACTCCATATCCCACAAGTTAAAAGGGATTTATACAACATCATTTTTCTAACTTTCAGATAACCCATAGGAATAGACTTTGTTAAATAAGAAAGAAAAGAAAGAAAGGAAGGAAGAAAGAGAGAGAAAGATTTTACCATATTTTTTTCAAAACATTCATTTCCAGTTCTTCAATGTATTTGAAAATGTTTTCATCCATCTTCCTAGTTCTGCTGTATACTATCACCTTGCCTCGCCCACTCAGTATCTGATGCTGTCCACTGTGTTTAGAAGCGCATGATCACCATCAACTCCCGTAATGAAAGTTTTCCTATTAATTCTCAAAAACTTAAAAGCAGAGCTAAGTTGTACTTATACGGGTGTTCTGTCACTACCAAATTATGGACATGGATAGCCCTGAGGTTGGACTGAATATCTGGTCAATACTTATAATGCACTATGGTTTTGCTTGATCAGAAGCCTTTAGCCTGCCACTCAGCACTCAGGATCTAGTGCAGACCCAAATTTCCAGCCTCATTCCCACTTCACCCCCACTGTCCCTATATCCATCCAGCCACAGCGAATGTTTTCTATCCCTCAAGTACACTTCAGACAGGACTGACTTAAGAGTTTGCTTAAACTCTTTGACTGGAAATTCTTCTCACTTCTGCGTGTCCAAAGCCCAGTTTAAATGTCACTTCTCCCTACAATCATCCCTGCCCTACCTGGTTGTCATCAGTATCTCCTTAGTAAACCCACAGCAAGTGCTTTCTCCTTTAAGCATGTTTCCTATTCGGCCTCGTGTTGTAGCTGTCTGTTTACACATTTTGAATACTAGGTGGAAGCCTATTTGGGGAAGGATCACTGTTCCTCAGCCCTAAATCACCAAGCTTAAGGTTGTGTACACCATCAGGAACCAAGAGGTGATTATTAGTGAATGGATGAAAGAAAACACCCACTGGGCTAGTTTCCAGGATTTCAGCAATGTGTTCTGTATTCTTTAAGAACGTGGGGGTGTTGTGTTGCTACCCAAGTGCTATCATACATCATAGCATCTTTCCTTGTTTTTATGTCATTGATGTGCTGAATAAAGAGCATCACCCTGCAAGTGTCAACTTTTCTTCCTGTTCTCTTGTAGGCACCTGGAGTTTATGCTGGAACAGTGCCAATTTGCTTAATGCTTGTGATTTCAAGACACTGAGCTTCGATATCCGGCTTAAGAAAATATCCTGGGTTGGTATTAGGGCCAATGGCATGTTCTGCTGAAGTTATCTTTCCTTCTACCTTTTACATCATGAGAGGCTAGAGTCAAAGAATTGCCTTCACTTCTCCTTTGATGGTGTTGATCTATGGCCTGTCCTGTCATAAGTAGAACTAAGTTTCCCTTTTCTGTTGAGGGAATCCCAACACTTAAGAGGTTGGAAGAGATCAGTCATAACAAACTCAAATACATGTAGCCTAAATAATGTCCATTGGGGGCTGTGGAGGATTGGAGAAGACACCGACATCTACAGGGAACAGATGCTGCCCAGACCCAGCCAATGGGTTTCCCATGTGCGAATGTGAATCCAGTATTCCCAGATTTTCTAATCATCATGATTAGGATATTTTACAAGAAATCTCCCCGTTTTAAATGTTTGCAAACTAGTTTAATTTTCCTTAACACTGCAATTCAAACAAAACGCATCACATTTTGTAGCCTGTGGCTGCTGGTCTGCAACCTGTGCGTTAATTGGGCTCTCAGGCTCTTCCCTGCCATGAGCTTCCACAATTCTGAATAAAAGATCAACTCAAGTTACGAGGGATTAAACTATCGAACTAAGTGACACCTACTTAGAAGGGTCCAAGAAGATACAAATGTTCAGACTGACTGAATAAAATGAAGATACCACCACTTCTTGCCCATCTCCCCACCCTATACTGAAGAAGCATTTCCAAAACTTGGCTGAAACAGATAATCCACAAGAACTAAGCCAATAAGGAAAGAGGCTTCTCTGGAAAATTCTCCTACACCACGGGGTATGATGCCATTTCCACCGGATCCTAACCAAAGGTCAAAGGGACTAAAACTTTTAATTGGAAGGAATCTTCAAGGACATATGGGTACAGTCCCTAAAGTGACACAGCTAACGTTTCTGCTCTGGTACGCTGTTTACCACACGTTGTGGGCAATGAAGGTGAAGGAGACTTGTGTTCGAGTGACAGTTCCAACGGCAACTGGATTTGTAACCTTGTGGATATCACTTCCTCTTTCTGGTCCTCAGTTTAATGGTCCTTACCATAAAAAGACCCTAAAATATCCTGTAGTCTGCCAAAGATTGACTAGCATTGCAACCCACTGCACTGTGGTAGGCCCACAACAATGAATATTAGCTCTGTCACAACAAACTCAAACAGACACGTGCGTGCATACATGCAAACACACACACACACACAGGAAAGATTTCCTTCCACAACTAAGAATAATGCAACCTTTTGAGCACGAAGGGGAAAATGATGGCTAAAATTAGTATCTTAAAAAATAAACTACATCATCACCGAAGATGAGATTTTCTTAAAACTATAGAACAAAGAGATATAATGATAGCTGTCACAAGAGAGGAAATTGCAGGAGTCAATTTGAAAGGATTTGGAGGAGGGGGATATTTTTTTTTTTCCTATTGAGATTTGCTTTTGCACATAACCACAGTAAGACTGAAAGGCTGAAACATTTCCCCAGGGCCTCTGTGACCTGTACCTCATAATGATGCTGCTGACATTAGGAGACTATCATTACAGCCCCAAATTAATGTCTTCTTATACAGAGAGCCAGCATGTGTACAGGCTCCTTATCATCATCTCTGTCACATTTGTACATCAGTTTTCAGTTCACGTGGCTCCTTTATATACATACTCTCATTTATTCCCTAAAACAGCTCTATATAGCCTATAGAGTATCATAAAGTCTCTCTCAGATGAATTAAAAAATACTCCTCCTACCTACCCTGCTTGCAAGGAAATAATCACCTTTGGCTTGCCTTTATTCACTTCAGGAAGTCCTTTCACTTTTTGAGATAAGGTATGGCCTGCTGGGTGGTATAGTAGAAAGAAAGAGAATTCAGAATCAATAACAACTGCCTCTAATCTTGGCCTTAGCCTTCAGATCAAACTTCAACAAATCAATTCACCAAGCCTGAATTCACTAATCCACAGAACAGAGAAAATTATACCTATCCTACCTCTCTTCTGGGGCTATAAAGATTAAAGTCAATGTATAGATAAGTGTGTCAAGTGACTTTAGAGGCTGAAAAATGCCAGTCTACAGACTTCATCAGCCTGGGTAATTAGGAAGAAAGGGGGAATTGCACACAGTCGTGCAAAACTACCAGCCTAGAGTCAAACTGCAAGTCAGTGATAGAGGAGACCAGAAAGCCAAGCTGGGGACAGGACCAAGCAACTCACGGAGAGAGACCCCATCTCCTTGCAGAGCCAGTGACAAGCCTCCTGGCCTTACCTGGCTAGGCTCCAGCCGGTCCTCAAGGCTTTTCTTTCTGCTCCTGGACCAGGGATGCCAGACCACAGATGGTGGCCAGTGGAGGTGTGGTTAGCTCAGATGAAGCCACACAGGAGGGTGCCCTCGGGCTGTGACCCCTCTCAGTCTGAATCTGAGCTCACCGAGTGGGCTGAGAGGTCCTTGCTCACTCTCAAAGGGGGAAATGAAAGGACTGAGGATGTTTACAGGGTGGAACTCAACTTGTCAGAGGCAGGAAATTGGGTTTGTGGGTGTGGCTTTTCTTGTTCTGCAAAGACACACCCCTCTCTCCCAATCCCTTCTTCAAGAAACCCTAGATTTTTCTGCCAAGTGCCTCTTTGAAATCTGACTGAGGTGAGCAGAAACAGGCTTCTAGCCATTCTTCCATGGCATCTGTATGCTCCCAACTAGCTATAAGGAAGTTTAAATCTGAATTCTACACACCTATAATGAATATTATTTTATACTGGCTAGATTAGTGGATATTTATGACTTTAAGCATCTCCATCACTTTTGTAGGAGCCCTGGTTGTGCAATGGTTAAGTACGTGGCTGCCAAACAAAAAGTCGATGGTTCGAACACAGCTGCTCTGTGGAAAAAAGATGTGATAGTCTGTTTCTGCAAAGATTTACAGCCTTGGAAGCCCTATGGGGCAGCTCTACTCTGTCCTATACGATCACTATGAGTCAAAAACAACCCGACAGCACACAACAACAACAACAGCCCCTTTTGTAGAGAACATGTAGAGTAGCGTATCTCTATGAGAACAAACACAAACACATGGACACACAGAAGCTCTGATCAATACTCCTGTTAAAGAATTTGTCACATTACATTGTTTTCTACTTAAGTGTGTCCTTCTCAGTGGAGTATCAGTTCCTGGAGGAAAATGACCCTGTCTTATTCTCCCATATATTCCCCACAATGCCCAGCATGTAGCAAGTATTAAATGAATTAAATTCAATGAGTGATGATCAATTCATATTTATTTAATGAATTCTGATCTGCCTTTTACTGGCTCTGCAACCCATGGCAAGTCATATTTTTACCTTTATGAATGGATATTTTTGGACATCTGGAAATTGGGTCAATCCACTCCTGCTTCAGAGATCTGGATAAAATCAACGAGGAAGCATATGAAAATGAACCTAGGGTAAGATTTGACACATCAAAGATGCTTCAAAAAATGCAATTGTTCTTAATAAACTGATTTTGAAATTCAAGTGAGTATTTCCTACATAGAGAGTCAGTGTAAAATAAAGTGTGAACCAGGCAAGTAGATGGATTTTTGAAAGAAAGGAGAGGATAGAAAACAAGGAGCTGTATGCACAAGATTGAATTTCAGTTTTCCATTCTAAATTCTCTTTTTCATTCAGCAAGACAAAGTCAGACGGTATTTACCCAACGGCTGGAGAAACTAGCGTACAGTGGGGGCCTCGCCTCTTAGATTGCATATTGTTATTTTCTTTTTGTAAAAGGAAAATTAACTGACACTTCTCAGAAAAAATGTGCACAGTTCCAGGCATACTGAGGTCAGGAAAAGATTCCATAGGTACTAAGGTTCGAACTGGCAACTCGCCTAAGGCACCTGAGAGAGGTCACAGAGGGTAAAGAGTCTTTCTACACGCCTCCCCCAAGTCTAAAACACTGAAGACATAATCGAGCTGTGCTTTTATTCAACAGTAGTTAACTGAACAAGCCCCTTGGCCATTCTCAATTCTCAGAGAAGACAAGGATAGAAGAACGGACTACGCACAGTCTCTGGCACAAGGAGTTCAAGGAAGAGGAAATATGTAAGCAAGTAGACATCATGTCAATACAGAAAATGATGAGCCTCACAGATAAGATCAGAACAATGCTGAGGAAATCCAGAAGAGGGAAAAATTCCAGGAGGCTTCACAGAGGAAGAAGCAGCATTAGATCCGGGCCATAAAGGAGAGCTATGATTTTGACAGGCACAGATGGTGATGGAGTTGGATGTAAACGTTAATCATGAGATGGACTGAGCCCCTGTCCACTGATCTAACTGATTTATGCCCTCACTAGTGCAGACACCAGGATGAAAAGAGAGCTTCGCGGAACTAGTATGTAGGTCACACCACTCAAACACCACAAAACGACAGCACAATTAGAAGTAATTGCGAGACAAATACTGCTCTCTCTCAGCTCCATGTATCTTTATGACGGCTCAGGGTCAGGACAAAAAAGGGAGGAGGGATGGAAAGCTGTCTCAATCCCAGCCTGGTCTCTTCAGAGTGGGACCAATCAATGCATGGCTGTTTGAAGTATTTAGCTTTAAAAGACAAGAGATTCTGTGAAAAGATATTGCAAGTCCACGTGGCAGCTAATTATCTATAGGTTTCCAGTGGCCAATGAACAATTGTCCCAGCTCCTGGTGGGCTCCAGTCACACTGCACCAACAGTAACTGGAGCAAGAAGCACAATCGATCCCGGAGGAGCTCAAGTAGCAGAAAGAAAAGAACACCACCCAGAAAACATGGGCTCTGGTCCCTATTCTGCAGGACACTGGGATCAGGGACAAGGATCTTAGTCTTCCCCAAGCCTCCCAAGCCTCAGTTGCCTCTTTTGTGTAATGGGAGTTAGAATACAGACACTACTCACCTTCTTGGGCTGTTGAGGGAGAAAATGAGATCCTGGAGGTGATAAGCTCTTTGTAAATGCTAGGTGTTGACCTCAATGTGAAGTACTATTATTACGGGACATATGAAGATACGTGGGAGTTCACCTCATGTCTACAATTTCCAGTTGAATCAAAGGCTATGCACAGATCTCCTGGTAGAAGACATGTTCAACAGCTAAGAAGCAGAGATCACAGAATTGTTTTACTAGATAGGCACCTAGAGATCATCTCTCTTTATCATGACAGCTTTTAAAATTGGTTGTTCTTCCTTCTCTCCTTCATTCTTGTCACTGAGAGAGAATGTAGGTTGTTGTTTATTTGGTTAGGAAACTCTGATTTGTAATACCTCTCCCCTCCTGTTGTTTTTCAGATGGGGACAAAGTGACATCAGGGTGATTGAACAGCTAGCCCTCTCCCTGGCCTCAGCAGGGACTCCTCTTACCTACCACACCGGGGGCAGCAGAAAGCACAAGTGTGGCATGGATCCTGATCACATCAGATCCAGAACCACCTCATCCCCAGGTCTTCCCCTAAGTGGATCCTGCAGAGAAGGATTTGTACATCCACA